TTCTCGAATGATGTCGCTTAACATTTAACAACAGAGAGAATAGGAAACTCATGAAATAATCTTATGGAAAGATTCATTTCTACAATCAAGTTTTTATTTCTGAAATATGAACTTGAATTCAATAAAATGAATGCCTTCAAAATTCCTCAAATTTTACTTTGACATTCAAAATAATTGCAAGCAAAAAAACATGACTTTCTAAAACATATTTTCCACCCACAATCACCCAAATGAATGCTTATTGAAAAAATTGTTTGCCAATATTTTCAAAGTAACATTATCAAAATAATAATTTACTTGATGTTTTCGCATCAAGTTATTTCTCTCTCATGAATGAAAATAATTGAAATTATATTCTTTAGAAAATGGCATTAATAAATTTATTATAAAGAAAAAAAATTTGATTAAAAACAATATCTATAAGGAAGCTATGGAAGAAACATCCTTTCACCCCACTATTTCTCAATATCCAAGTAGGAATTAAATATGCAACCAAAGAATGGAAAAAGAATGTCATTTATTATTTTTAAAAAGAGGCATTTACATACATACCGCCCAATTCCTATGTATTTATGTATTCAACACCAAAACTCTACTTTTTACATTTATAACACCCAATTCTTCCATAGGGTGGCATATAGAAGTAAAAGTTGAAATTTAGGTGTTAGATATATGTAAATACATCAGCATTGAGTGGTATGTATGTATGTAAATCTCCCAACTTCTAAAAAGTGAAAATCCCATTTTTATGCATAGGTAAGGTGGAATACACAAAAAAATTGAAATTTTGAATTAAGTGGTATGTATTGAAATTCCGTTAAAAAAATGAAAATGATAAAAAATCAATTTTAATAATCAAATTGATTTAAATATAATAACTAAAAAAAAATTCTAAGACCACTTCTAGATGAAACAAATATATACCACTCTTCTCATTACAATTCTACACTTAATTATATAGATAATTGCAGCTATCCAAAACAGACCAACGGGAAGCAGTTAGCAGCAGAAGAAGAAAAACATCATGCAATCTAAGGGAAAAAAAATCCCAAACACTCAATAATATTCGGCAGCTTTCCTTAAAGTAGATTATGAATCAAACCATCCATAGTCCAATCAAGTATTTAAGATTTCTAGAGAAAGCAGCTGCAGAAAAGATAGAGCTAATAGAGAGTTGTTTATCAGATTCTTTATTTCCTAAAAAGACAAAATTTTCCATTAGTGAGGAAATTTAAATTGTTGATGAAGATAATTTTCTTAGCTAGAATGGCATGGTTCTGTTTTTCTTTCTGTTTTTCTTTTACATTTGATGTTGCTATTACAGATTTTTTTTTTATTATTCTTAAGAAGTTGCATAAAAACTTTCTTATAAATACAAAGTTCTAACAAATTTGAAAGTGAAAGTCTCAACAACATAAAAATTTATGAAAATAACAAAAAAATATAGCCAAAAAGAAGAAATTTAACAGTTGTCAATTATAATTTCTGAAAATTTAATAAGAGGGAGGTTTTAAACTTAAATACTCATCACCACTTGCTTTATAGTTTCGGCACTCCTTGCTTTAAATTTTGATTCGATGGCTAATCTTGGGTGTTTATAACCAATGTTCACAAGCCTTAGAGTAGTAGAGGGCTATATCACCTTGGGATTGGGGTCTCCTACCTAATAAAGAACGCCAATTAAGTTAAAAAATGTGGCTATGTTGGCGGCTACGATCACCATTGGACATCAACATATAAGCCCATAAAAAGGCAATTATAGTTGCACGAGGAAGGCTTGTATTGTAGCGGTCCAACAAAATTCAATGTGGTTGATTCAAGCTTGGCTCATTTCCACCATTCTCACAAAAGATTGGCATTTCATGGCACTCAAGGATTTGGTTGTCTTTAAGCTATTTATCTAATATAAACTTCACTAGGAATGATTTGCAATATATATTTGAAAAATTACATGATTTATATAGATCACAAGAAAATATTTTGAGAAGTTTGAGCGTGTAAGAATCTGTAAATATGATAATATAAAAGCAACAATTCAACAAACTAATCCCATGAAAAAGAATAAGCAATCAGTTTGGATATTGGGGCAAACTAAAATAAACTGCTGCAACAATATCAGGTGGAAGCGAGTACTAAATTGTTCGGCTTGTCTTCCATTGGGCTCAAAATGAATGCAACATCTGTTTCAAGCATAACATCAAACGACTGGCGGGCACGAATCAAGTGCCTGGCCTTTCTTCTTCAACTTTTGCCGGGGCATCACTGTCTTCAAGTGGCAAGCTTGAAAAGCAACCATGGCCCTAAGAATAGTAAGCAGCCTCTCCTCAATCTCCACCCCATTTCCCTCGGGCTCTAGCACCCTAAGCACCCTCGCAACCGCCTCCATGGTGCTCAAGCAACCCTTCCATGGCTCCTTCCTTAACACAAGGCCAGACTCGTAGGTGCTCGGCCCCTCCGATCTCGTGTCGCAGCCATCTCCGACCTGAACTTGTATCGAAAAGCGAGAGAGGAAGGGGATGCTAGCGACGACCATCTCCTTAGCGTACCTCCAAGTGGCATCAAAGACGATGAGGATGGGCTCCGCGCGGGCATCAGGTGGTGTATCAGCAGCCCAGCGTTCGATGTCAAATCCAGGTGTGGAAGAATCGAAGGTGGGAAAGAGGAAGAGGACCGGAGAAGAAGAAGAAGGAGAGGAAGAATGGCGATCAAGGAGCGGAGAAGAGCCTGGGTGAAGGCGGCGGCCCAGGATGGAGTGGCAGCGGATTAGGGAGCGAGAGAGGGCAGGAAGTGTGGCGAGCTTGTTGGTTCGGAGCTCATGGGGGTGGTGGAGGATGATAAGAGTAGTGGAGGTGTGGATTGGGGAAGGGGGGAGAAAAGGGCAGATGCAAGTGACATCAGGGCGCCGGCAGCCACTCCAGCAAATGGCCCTCCGCTGCTGTCGTGTGCGGCGGTGCGGTTGTTCTTCTTGCCTCGTAAAGTCGTAACCTTTGCTGTTGCTACGAATGGAGTTCTCTTCCCCTTCGTCGGAAGAGAAAAATAATGATTGGGGAAGAGTAGCGAATTCTTCTTCCATGTTCCACCTGGTATTACAATTATAGAAAATATATGTTGAGTGTTTTGAAGGAGTTATGGGTACAATAGTGAAAATTAAAGGAAATACAATTCTTCATTGAGGATCAAAGATAGACAACTAGATTGAATCAACCAATCTAGCTAACCTTATCAACTCAAAACTTACTAAATCTAGTTGACCGAGTCATAAGGCAGCCAGACGGTAAGCCCATGCTTATAAAACACTTGAAGTATTCTGGTACAGATATATTTTAAATGAAGGTAACAATATAATGTCATTATCAAATTTTCTCACCTATAAATAGAAAAGACATTTTATGAAAAGGACACACTATTTGAACACTATTCATTATTGTTCATGTCTCTCTCTCCGTCTCTTTCATCTCATTTACGTTATATTCATTGGATGTAATTCACAGACAATCTCAGATTCAACATTCAACAGAATCAAATAGATTTTCTAATATGATTTGAATAAAGATTGACGTGGGTTTGAGCATGGTTCACATACATCACAACATCAATTAAGCAAAATTTAAACAAAATTTAGGCAATATTCCAAGAAGGATCAAAGAAAATTCAACAAAATATTTGATTAAGATTTAATAAAATTAAATGAAGTTCCAAAAGAGATTTGATCATGGGATATATGTGAGATATAACAATCACAATTTTTACAACAAAATTTTGTTGTAAAAGATTTTGCACAACATAATGTTAACATATACAAAATAATTATAATACAATAATTATAATAAAACATGTTATCAAAGATTTTATATAATAAAATAATGGATATAAAATATCTAGTTATATCACAACAATCATAACAAATTTTTTACAACAACACAATAGATGCAACATTGCTATAATAGTGCAATCATAACACAAAAATTCCAGGGTTATAACACGATAACCATAACATAATAACATAATTCAAGGGACAGAACACAATGACAACAACATATTAAAATACATCACAATAATGCAACTATTTTTATGTTAATATCATTAAATCATAATTTGTACTACCCACATCTCACACCAAATCCAAGAATAATAAATGGCTTAGAGAGAGAGAGAGAGAGAGAGAGAGAGAGATGAAATGCTTAGTAATATTAATGAATATTGCAACATCTACAAGCTTATCTCCTCATTTTCATAAATTTGTTGTTTGGACTAATTTGTAGTTATCTTTAATCTATTGTTATCATATAAATTAAATTGATCCATCACAAATGTGAACAAGAGTATACCACCAAGCAATGATGTGCAAAAATATTTTATTAATATTATAAAAAAATGAATTTTTGCCTTTCATCAAAAAGTAAAAAATTGTTTCATCCATCTCTCTGGTAGAGCAGATGCGCAATTGGAATGCCCATAGAGCATTAGATACACATGGAATTGGATTCCATCCTATTATCTTCTATGTAAGTGTCTCCCCCTCAACACTAAAGCATCCATTATCAATATGCTTTGTTGCTTTCATGCTCTTATAAATATATATTTTTTGTTCCTTTGGTCACTCATTGCCAACACATAGTATTATCTTATCTCAAATGTATAACATTTTCATTTCAATTTCATGAAAATATATAAGTATAATGGCATTAGTAAGGAAATTCTTGATTAATCTGCAGCAACAGAACCAACTTCTTTTTTGAGAGGGGCAAAGTATCCCCTAGATTAAAAGTGGGATGGGCTAGAACAACAAAAGACAAGTGATATTTTAGGAGGAACAAAAATGATATTTCAGGAGCGTGAAAAAAAATAAAGTATTCTTCTTAATAAATAAACATTTGAATTTGAGATAGATGGAGGGAGGACTGAGGGGAGGGGGTAATTGTCGACATTAGGGGTGTAAACGAGTCGAACACGGAGGGGGTAATTGTCGACATTAGGGGTGTAAACGACTAGAACACTAGCGAGCTCAGGCTCAGCTCGTGTTCGGCTCGTTTATATTTCGAGCTAAGAAAATGGGTTCGTGTTCGACTCATTTACTTAGCAAGCAGAACACGAACTGTTCACGAACAAAGAATCATTTTGACAATTCCAATCACATAGCCCACAAGATGTTAAGCGTTGGGAAAAGATTTGATCCCACTGTGGCGCGGTGGCTTTGAGACACATGACACAGACACCCAATCATAGGTGACCGAGCGCAAGGGGAAGCGGTATTTGGGGCCCACCAGACTCAAATAATGTTTCTTTTTTTTAATATATATATATAATTGATGAGCAGTATTTCGAGCCAAATACGAGCAAACCAATCTTAATTCGTGTTCGATTCTTTAACTTAACAAACGAGCCAAACATTAGTTATTCGCAAAAAAAGAGCTATTTTGACGAAAAATTATTTCATATGGACACCGCATGCAAAAATTCATGCAGTATCCGATCTCATCACAACGGTTTTTTTTTTTTTTTTTTAAT